GATCTGTTGTGAATGAGTGAGGCACAGAGCAGCTGAGTGAGACTAACAAGTGGTTGCCATGCAGCAGGAGCAAGCGTGCAAGCTTCTAGAGAGAGAGATAGAGAAACAGAATGATAATGAGCAGGAGGCAGCAGCAAGTAAAGCAGCGCTAGGACAGGAGCTGCATCTCTCAGGAGAAAAAAGGAGAACGGATTGATCCAGCCCCTCGCCTCTGTTCTTTTTTTTCTTTTCTTTTTTTCTTTTACATTCAGATTTCTTTTACTCAGATGTGAGCGGCTAGCCTAGTGCATCCAGCATGCCAGGGATGGATGGATTGATGGATACATGTCTGAGAGCTCCAAGGAGAAGGAGGGAGAGTTGCTTGCAGGAATCCGCAGCAACAGGTCTGTAAGGATGGCACTGAAATGATGGTGAGACACCTGCATTTGCTCCCTCAGACATCCTAGAGAATCTGCCAATGCAGTCCTTCCCTTCCACCCTGCCCTCACTCCCTCCCTCAGCATACTTGTGCAGTGTTCTCCTCCTTATTCTACTTCATTTCCTCTTCTTTCCTCGTGTGCATTTCCTCTCCCATCCACCGGTCCTCCTCTTACTTTACCCACCTGCTGCTTGCTGTAAAAATATGAGAAGATGTTGACTGACACTAGGTAGGCATCCACTCATGTGACCGAAAAAGGTTTTGTAATTACATGTGGTCAATTACAGTCACTCTCCTGCTGCCTAATGGAATTACTCTGTCTGGCAGGCATCTGCTTACATGCAACAGGTAGAGATGTGTTCCCTCTGAACTAAACACATGCAGGGCTGCATCTTATGCAGATGTTGCATTTTTGTAATTTGCACATCAGCTCTGTTTGTGTTTTAATGACTGGCTGTGCACTGCGACACACTGCTATTCTAATCTGACCTGAAGGAATGTAAAGTCTCACAACCTTGGCTGGTTTTGCTGCACCCACTTGGTTGGAAGTATTTTTCACAGCCCCTCTATACATGCTGGCTGGTTGCAGCTTTCTGCAGAGAAATTCCCAAAGGTGCAGAGCTGGACAGATCTCTGGACATCTGCTTAATTCCAAAATCAGAGAAGCTATTTAAAGATACCAGTAGTCCTTCATCTTTTATTCAGACCTGCATTTAAATGAGATATTGCTTCATCCCTTTTACTGTATCAGCACCTTTATTACTCTTTATGTCAGAGCTAATAGTAATTTAAGAGCTGCATTAAATAGATCTCACCCACACAAGAGACAAAACAGGACTAACAGAGGAAATCATTTAACCCCTGTCCAGGTAACATGCAGGCTTCTAAGCGCCTGACCCCATCCAAGGAGAGATGAGGCACCTAGAGGTGGACTTACCATGAGCAGCGTCCACTTCAACCACTCCCTTGCTGCTATGAGCGGAAACGACTTAATGGCACACTCTCTGACTCTGGAGCAAAAGACAGCGTTTGCTTTTGTGGGGATGCTGCTGGTGTTCTTGGGACTGCTGATAATACGCTGCTTTAGGATCCTGCTGGACCCCTACAGCAGCATGCCCTCCTCTAACTGGGCCGATGGCATCGAGGGGCTGGAGAAAGGGACGTTTGAGTACGCCCTCACTTAACGATGCGACAACGGGACACAAACACACACAAACAGAAAAAACAGATACCCAAGCCTGACCGACCACTGCACCTGACACTCCATTAAGATACCTTCAAGTGATGAACAGAGCTAGAGTCAAAGCTGCGTATGCCATTTAATGTGTGTGAATTGTTAGGTCAGAGAACCTCTACTGTATATGAATTGTGTGTGTCTGGGAGAGAGAGTGAATGTGAGGCAGCTGCCGTGTCACATTGGGTGCCCTTCTGCCAGGAAGTGTGTTTTTTAGAACATCAGTTGACACAGAACTTGGATGTAGCTCCCTTTAACCTACAAGCTGAATGTCACGAGAAGGTGGACATCAATGAAACAGGATGGGAGACTGAAGACTCAGGGACAAGATTCCTCACATGAACTCAAAACAGAGGGTGGCGTGGTTGCACTTCTGCACAGCAGAACTGTTCAGCACAAGAATGTAAATGGGTGGATACAGGGTATTGTCAAAATAGTGCTAAGTGACCTATTCAAAACAAGTCTGTTGGGAATCTTAAGGAAAGCAGGCACTTCTAGCTTTCTTAAGTCATCCAGCGAAAGAAAAACAAAGGCAAACTGTGACCTACATTGTGGTACTGCTGTTCCTAAACAATGCAAAGGGAACTCAGAGACTGTACTGCTGCTGCCTTGGAGGAATGGGAAACTGGTTGACTAAACAAATGAGACAAAATACGTTCTTCACTCAGAGCACTGATGTTTCAAATCAATGGGAGGAACTCGCCCAGCAGAGGTGTGGCAAATAACAAGGGCGGGATGAGTTTCAGCTCTACACTTGATCATGCTTCCTGACTCTCCTAGATCATCCTGAACCCTCCTGATCATTTTCTGATCAGACCGTGTGGTCTGGACTGTTCCTTTGCCAATTTTTACAGTCTACTGTTTCTCCTTAGTGCTGTGAATCTGCCTTACTGTGACCTTCAATGGGTTTATGTGCCTTCATCTAGAACCATTAGAGCACCCGTTTGTGGGTGTGTCTGAGTGAGCGTCATACCATAATGACAGGCCGGTTGCTTGCTCCACTGGTGATAGAGATTTTGCATTGATTTCATTCGATTTGATGATGTGAAATAAAAAAAAAATGGTTTATTCACTTTAAACATTGATGTTCAGCTTTTTTGCATTTTGGGTTCCAAATAGACACCTCTCCAAATAGATACCTGTCTTAATGTTAAATTCTGATTTTGTTGCAGCTGTGTTATCTAATTAAGGAAGCAGCAAGAAAATCATTCAATTCAAAAAGGTAAAGAATTTAATCTGAGGAAATAATTTTTTTCTGTTTGGTCACAGTTGTTGTATTATTGATACTGATATTTTGTTCATCCATTTTTGCCAGTTTGACAGTAGTTAATCTTTTCCTACAACACTTAACAAGCAGAAAGAGTTTAGAGCCTTGAAGCAGATGATTATAACGTTATGTTGGAGAATTTCACTGTAAACACACCTATAGATCCCAGCAGGAAGATGCCACTTTGCCTTGATATTCATATCAATCCTGCACAATCTGCACTGATAAACAGTCTCTTAGGGAAATTTAGTCGTATCAAAGGGGGAAATGACATATGCCGTAAGGCAGTCTGCACATTTGCACATTTGTAGTCATTTATGTGACAGGGTTACTTACATCCTCCTCAAAGTTGCTTGGTGTCTGTGAAAGTGACGCAGACCCATGACAGAGGAGTACTTAGAGCACTTAGAAATATTTTATGAAGGTTGAGAAGTCAGTTAGTGTTGGGTTAAACTGATTTTCCAAAAATGACTCCCTAAGTTGCCTAACAGTGGCATTGAATGTAAGAGTTTGCCCTGCAAATGGAGGGTTGTTGTTTCAAGCACCGGCTTTCATTGTCATAGCGCCCTTTGGCAAGACACTTCACCAGCATTGCCTACTGGTGGCGGACTGGTGGCGCCTGTTAAACAACCTTGATTCTGTCAGTGAGCCCCAGGGCGACTGTAGCTACAATGTAACCACATCATCAGTGAATGGCTGAATGACTGCATGTAGTGTAAAGCGCTTTGGTCAAGTCTTTATCATTAGATTTTTAAAAGCAGCTTATAGGTTTGTTGGGAAAAGCTTGAGCTGAGTATTACTGATTAAAAGAAACATTTCAAAATTGATTTGTTTACCTTTGTAAAGGTAGTACGTAAAAGCATATTAAACATTCATTGTAAAGGCATTGATAAGGGTACCAATTACTGTAGGACAGGATATTTATTTCTGGGTATGAACATTTGGAAATATGCCTTTCTTTTGTCACCACCAAATAAATAAAGGGATTTTACAAAAACCTTTTAGTTAGTTAATTAGTTTAGTCAAATACAAATTTAATGTAGGGCTTTTTACACATATTTATCAGGGCTACCATGTAATGAGTAGAGGAAAATATGTGGTGTAACGTACATTAAAATCTCACATCATGTCTTTAAATGTTTTTACAATAAGAAGATAGTGATAGAGTGTTTTTTATAATGATCTCCAATAGACTAAAAGTTCAAAAGCCTTGAAGTTGTGCCTTCTGGAGGAGCAGTAGAATGAAAGAATTCACAGAGGCCTGTGAAAGGACACATCATGAGGTGGAAAACCCACCGACTCATCCTCAGGTTCACCATAAACTCCCTCCTTAACATGCATCATTAGTTAGGAATGCAATTTTTATTGCTCCATTATCTTTGTCACCTATGTGACATCCTTATCTTGAAATATTTGCTGCAGAATATTTGCTGTTTTTTTCCTCTTCTGCCACAGGCCAGAAAAAATGAAGCTTAAATTACTTGTCTGTAAACCTCTTTCCCTAAATTCTATCTTATTAATATTTGATTTGAACCTTTGTTATTCATCCCAAAGGGGAGAAATAAATGTCTATATGTTTTTAAGACCTATTGAAATTTGGAGGGCATTACAAAGTTATCAAATATATGTTATTTTCTTTTTGATAAATAGGTTTGTGGGTTCTAAGTAATTTGGAAGAAGAAACAAAACTTTCACTTTCTGCCACCTATCTTTTAAAAAAAGATTTATTACTCTTTTTATATCACTTTAAATTTATTTGATGGTTTTTGTTACTTTTTTGACACCGTGTAAAAAGCTCCTTAAATGAGGTGCGGTTAAAGTTTAACCCAGTTTTTTTCCAACCTTTTTGGCTTCTTGTTAAAACCACTGAGCAGTTCAGGGTCACATTTAGATTTGCAATAGAATTCTAATGAATTAAACCAATCATTGCCTTACTGCCTTAAAAATAAAACACTCACATATAGAAATGACACATGGAGTGAAATCATCTGAATGTGTAATGATTGCTAAGGTTGGCTGAAAGATTTTAAAAGGGGTATTGTAGGAGCATGTTAACATTTTTAAGACTGAGTTGCTTTTATATGGTTACAATCTGCTCCTTTCTCACCACACATCAGGTTCAGCCGTTTCAGCAAAGTATTTGGTTTTTATCCAAAACTTAAATAATTTCTTGCTGCAGGTAAGATAGCGACTTTTTTCAATTTTTTCCTCAAAATCTGATAAAAGTTTAAAATGTTTTCTGAAATGAATTTAGGAAACACAAATTTGCTCGCTGTTAAAGATATTTCAATAACTGTTTTTACATTCTTTTTTTATTTTCAGGTAGAGCCAGCTGTTAAATCTACTCATAACTAAATTTTACAAAAGAGTTGTTAATAATTAAAAAAAGGTTTTGACTAATCTTCTACAAAAAAAATTTAATCTTTTTTATTGACTGAATAAAAACAAAGAACAGATCTTTGCATGAAAGAATTTTAGTTATAATCTCTCACTCTTCTGCAAACAGCAATGAACTAAAATAACCTGAATTTTTAAAACCATTCACCCTGGTTTAATTTTCTTTTTTAGGGTTATGTTTAGGGATTATTAACATAAAAATATACTTTTGTGAGCGCTCATGAGAACTTTAAGACTTCTTGTAACAGTGCAGGTTGATGAGGTGGCAGATGATTGGACCTTAACTTCGCTGATTATCAAACATTAGCTTTATTACTTGTGGTCTTCGAACTTCCCATGCTTTGTCCTTGATGTTATTCTGATAAGACGAGCTGATACAATAACTATTTTATTACTGTAGTTAAGCGATGCCTCTAATTATAGATTTACCACTGTATTTAAAAAAGAATAGCTTTTGGCACTAATGTGATTGGTCCGCTGAATTGAGAAGTTCTGTAGTCAAAATGCTAAACTTTAATCTATCTATTCGTAAACAACTTACTGATTGTTAGATGAAATAACTTGAAATCTTAAATTGAATGGGACTACACTTGATCTGATGTATGAGTTGAACCCCTCTGAATTTCTCTGAAGATGAATACATGAATGCTTGCCGACTCTAAGATATCTTAATCTTTTATAATAGAAATTAATGATTAGAAAGCTGTTAAGTTTAATTATTTACTTTGAGTTGCTTCAAAATGGCACCTTTTTATGAGCTAATGCATATTGTTCTTGGATTTCCTGCTATGTGCACAGTGTTTGGGTGTTACAGGACTTTTTAATTAATGATGTGAGGATAAAAAATTATTATTAGTTTATTATTATGCTGTATAAGGCCTTAAAATGACACCTCTTAAAATGCTTACATACACAGTGTGTCTAGTATCTGATGTGCTTTATTCAATGTGTTGTGTAATAATAGTATGTTTTTTCTGACCTACAGAAAGGAATATTTGCATAAGTTATGACATTTGCCTTTAAATTTTAAAGGTTTTGATATGCAGTTGCAAAGATAGCATGCCTTATGAGAGTGATCATTACATGTGAATTTATTTTTATATTTGTTCAAACAATAACCACAGGCCTTATTATTCTTAACTTCGATTTTATGCAAAAGACCATCTAATAGCTATAAAGTGTGTGGTGGAAAACCAACCCTTAATATTACTTTGAAGGGCCAAGATCATAGTAGCACACATTATGGTGTAGGTAGGATTTTAATTAACTGTCATAGCAAAGCTGGTAAAGTTGGTAGATTATTTGTATTTTTGAAATAAAGTCTGTAAAAGTATTTCAAATGCTTTAAAATGCAGTAGAAGTTTAACTCAGCAGGACAAGGACCCCAAACTTACAGCCAGAGATGCAGTTAAAGTTTTAGATCAGCAGTTAAAGTTTCAGAACAGCGGTTTCAAGTTCCTGTAATAAAAAAGCCATTGTCCAGCTCCTTATAAATAAATCTTTGATCCAATGCAGCTGAATCAAATGAATAGATCATTTAACCGGCCTCTGTAGAACTTCATAACATCCATCTCAGAATGTGTTATTGACTCAGGGGGGCTGAGAACATATTCCTACCACACCTCTTAGTTTTTAATTTTAGGACAATAAAGATAGTTGCTCAGTGCAGACACAAAACAGGCAGGCATAAGCAGAGCATAAAAATCCAGATTTTGAAAAATGACCTGTTGTGATATGACTGAGAAGATAAATGTTAGAAGTTGTGATTGAACAGTTAGTCTATCATATGTTGACAATTTTCTCTCCTCAGCATAACTCTTGCAGCACCATAATGTTTGCAGGGAATCATTCCAGCTTTGTTTAAATTCTGATGAGCCCTGCTGTTTGTCTTCTTTCAGCCTATACATAAAAACACATGCTGGAGCGTGTTTCTTTTGTCAGCAAACAATACAGCCAAGGTCAGATTTCAAGCCATTAGTCAGGCTTTCACTGCATGCATAAATCACTGTGGTGTATCAGTAATAAGGAAGTTTACCTGTTAAGAGGTCTTTTAATGGCTCTTTAGAAGTCATGTGAAGTGCCTCCGGCATATTCCTGTAATTTTTGGTCTTTTATTAACTCTCATTTTCTTCTTGAATGCTGCCATTTCGTCTGCATTAGCTAACCCTCTGCCTTTCTTCTCTAAATCTATGTGGATAGGAGAGCCATTACAGACATTTATTTAGACAGTTATATAACTATTATGAGCCCAATATTTTCTTACATGTCAGGATACTCCCCCTGATTTTATCTCATTTTTTTATTGAGCATATTGAATATATATAGACAGAAATAAGAGCTGTTTGATATATGCTTTAAATGATCTGTTTTTAGTTGACATAAAACCTTAAAACTTTGTCCCTCAGTAATGTCTTGGCGTTTTTCTAGTGGAAATCTTCATATGTTTATATTTCCCAGTGATTCATGCAAAGAGCCTCTAGATCTAAGGAAATACTACTCACAGTGCCATAAAGTGCAACCATAGAACAACATGTGCCATTCAGCATATAATATTAGTAATCAATTTTCCAGAACTCGGGCAATGAGCACCTTTATCTTTCTCTTGCCGTTTATGACTTTGGTTAATGATTAAGCAACGCCTTTATGTCCCCTAGGATGGAGGACATATCTGACCCCCTTGGTTAAGTTTTCTGAGGGTTGATCCAAGGAGTTGACCAATAGCTGGCAGTCAGTGTATGACCATGAGTATAAAGGTAGGCCGTTGACTAGTAGGCAGCTTCATGCACAAGAAATTCAACGCAGAAGAGGAGATCTTTTTAAATCCTGTCATTGTGTAGCTTTTGCTTCAATGCTCAAGGAACCCTGATTCTCAGATCTGCACCCATTATTTGATTGTTGGTTTTCTGAAGACAGCTGTTTTATTATTTTCACACTTGAACTCTAAGAATCTCCAGCATTTGCAATGGAGAGGCGGAAGTCAAACAAAGAGGGTCATGTCAACTCAGCTTTTGATTCCAACCATGATGAGCCTCCGATCTATGAAGAGACAGAATTGTCCAACGACGACCATCGGACGATCAGGCCCTCAGTAATCAGTGCTTTCGGTCATGATACTTTAGACCGAGTGCCCAACATTAACTTCTACCGTAACGCCGGCAGTGTGAGTGGTCACCGAGCTATCAGGCCATCCTTGCAGGAGCTCCATGATGTTTTTCAAAAGGTAAGTGCACATCTGTTCTCATGATGCCTGAGAACATTTTATCTGAATTCCTTTCTCCATGTCTTTTTTTCTTGTTGTCTTTTCCCCCTTGTCTCTGAAATCTCCTACTTTAAAACTATCTTACGATAAGAACAGGAAATTCAGTTCTGCTTCTGAGAGACAGCTATTCCAGCGAGTGAATGACGCTGCTTGAATCATAAAACTTTACCAAAGCATCTCTGTCTGTCAGTGGCTAACTCTTTATCTTTAACCTTGTAAAACTAAACCAGAAAGCAGATAAAATGTTATTTCTGGAACTGAACAGCATCAGCACACTTGACACACTTTATTTGTTTTTATTGCTGTTTATTTGAACCTATTGCCAAAGACATTAGGCCATGGTTCATTTAGGTTTATAGCTTTTGGACTAGATAATCGTTTGTGAATGGATACAAAAATGGTGGATCTTTACGGAGTGGCAGTTTTGGAACTTTGATGTTTAAGCTTTGTAAAAGAC